AAGGACTGAATGTAGGTAATCAACACTTGAGTCACGAAAGAGGATATAAAGGTTTTCTAGTTTTAGCACTTTTTGTTGGTAATTAAGCGCTTAAAAATGTCGGATAGTCAAAGTGTAAAACCCAGTGTGAAGCTGTTCACTGAGATGGATAAACTTTGGGTCTGGTTCATTTCACTGTGTGATGTTTTTTGTAAGTTTTTTGTAATAAAGGCTTTTTGGTTTATTGTTTTTGTTGTTGTTTTGGTTTTTGAGACTGGGTTTCTCTGTGTAGCCCTGGCTGTCCTGGAACTCTGTAGACCAGGCTGACCTTGAACTCAGAGATATACCTGTTTCTGTCTTCCAAGTGCTAGAATTAAAGGTGTGCACCACCACCACCCAGCTCTGTAATAGAGTTATAATACTATAATAATAAATCGTGGTCATAAGAAAAGCTATGTATGATAAGCCCACAGCTGTCATCATGATAGATAAAGGGGGGGGGGAGAAATCCCAAATTTCAAGGTATTTTACAGAGATACAGCAATGAAAATAGCCTTGTTACTGGCACAGAAGCAGACATGTGGATCCACGGAACAAAATAAACTAAAATATGAGTGCACATAGCTAAAGTCATCTAATATTTGACAAAGATATCAAAAATACACACCAGAGGGAAAAAACAGCATCTTCAACAAATGGGGCTAGGAAAACTGGATGTCTACATGTACCAGAATGAAATTAGACCCATACCTGTCACCTTGCACAAGAATTAACTCTAAATGGATCAAAGACTTCTATATGAAACCTGAAATGCTGGAACTGCCAGGAGAAAACGGAGGCACGAAGACTTTCTGGATAGGACTCCGTTTGCTCAGGAATTAGGCCAACAGTCTACAAATAGGACTTTATAAAACCACAAAGCTTCTGTACAGCAAAGGAATAGAAAAGTAAGCCCACAGAATGGGATAGAACCTTTGCCAGATGGACATCTGGTAGAGGATCGATATTCAAGCAAACATAAAGCTACAGAACACTTAACAGCAAGTGCCTCTAGCCACTGAACCATTGCACTAACCCCAAAGAGTTTAATTTATTTAATAAAGTTTATTTATATATTATTTTTGTTGCTTGTACTGTTGTTATAATTTCTAATATATTAATTATATACATACACACACATATTATTGCTCAATTTCAAGTCACAGAGATTTACTAATAGGTTTTCTTCTGAGAATTTTGTTTTTGTTGTGTCTCTACATATCCCTGACTGTCCTGGAACTCACCATACAGAGCAGTCTGACCTCCAACCGACAGAGATCTGCCTGCCTCTTGCCTCCCAAGTGCTGTGATTAAAGGCGTGCACCACGACACCCAGCTTTCTTCCAAGAGTTGTATAGCTTTTGCTCTTACATGTAAAGTTTTGATCCCTTTTGAATCAGGTTTTGTGTGTGCTGTGAGGTAGGGCCAGCTTCACTGTTCGCATGTGGGCTCCTTGCACCTTCGTGAAAAGATTATCCTTTCCTTTTGAGTCATCTTTTAGTTGCTAAGCATTGTAATAATTGGTCTTAGTAGGGTTACCGTAACAGTGATAAAACAAGCAGGACCAGAGGAACTTGGGAAGGAAAGGGTTTGTTTGGCTTACAAGTCTGTATCATAGTTCATCATCAAAGGAAATACAGGAACTCAAGCAAGGTAGGAGGAACCTGACAGCAGTTTGGGATTCATGAACTTCTAATAACATTCCATTTAAGTGAGCTATCATTTATCTTTAGTGTTTTACAGGCTTTGGGATTTCTTCATTTTGTTTTTTGTTTTGTTTTGTTTTGTTTTGTTTGTTTTTGTTTTGTTTGGTTTGGCTTTTCGAGACAGGGTTTCTGTGTTTAGCCTTGGCTGTCCTGGACTCTGTAGACCAGGCTGGCCTTGAACTCACAGAGATCTGTCTGCCTCTGCCAGGGATTACAGGTGTTCATCACCTGTTCCCAACTGTTTTACAGTTTTTTATAGGTCACTTACTTAAAAAAAATAAACCCCAAAGTGCTTTAATGCTTTTATAAATGTGGCTGTTCTCAGAGCTCCGTGTTTACATTATTTATTGCTAACATATAGAAATACAGTCAATTTTTTATTTTGATCTTGTATCCTGCCACTTTGTGAAACTTGTCTGTTAGTTAATAGCTGGCTGCGTTTCTGTATTAGAATTTTCTGTGCACAATCCTGGTATCCTCAAACAGAGATGTTCCCTTTCTCCTTTCCAGATACAGAGTTTGTTTCTCTCAGTCCCCTGCCTTCATGCGTAATTACCGTGGTTAGCACCGCCATTCCAGTGCTGAATGCTGAATAGACATGAGGAAAGCTGAAATCTCTGCCTTATTCCCACATACACACTGAGTGTGATACCAGCTGTAGATTTTTGTAGATGCCTTTTATCATGGTTTTTTCTTTTTAATTTTAGTGAAGTCATTTTATTTTTTTTTTCTTTTGTTGTGTCGTTTTGGTGTCATTTCAAATAAACCATTGCTTAATTTCCAGCCACAGGTACACTTTAGTTGTTGCTATTGAAAGTTTTTTTTTTTTTTTTTTTGGTCATGTTTTCTTTTTGTTGTTCTTACCATGTAGTTTTGAGTGGTCTGAAACAGAGCTCTACTTCCCTTCGTGTCCCAAGTGCTGAGATTACAGACATGGACAACCCCTCTGGGCTTTGTGAGAGCTCTGTGGAGACTTTAATCCATTTTGTTCGTGTTGTTGTTTTGTCTTAAAAGGTTCAGTTTTGTAAAAATGCTTTTCCTCCATTGCTGAATGCCTTTCCTGTGTCACTTACTGAGATGATCATGTGATTCTTCAGATGACTATATGTTGGTCACATATTGAACTAACCTGGCATTTGTGGCATAAATTGCCTTTGTTCATGATGTCAATCCTTTTTATATGCTCGTCCCTTTGCCAATATTTTATATATGCTCTCTAGTTTTCCTGGGTTGCCCTGTTCTGGCTTTGGGATCAGGATGCCTCTGGCCTTACAGATTGAGTTGAAATGTGTTCCTTTCTCTCTTATATCTTAGGATCATTAGTGGAGAATTGGTATTATTTAACCACTGGGTGTTTAAACATCAGTAAAGCCACCTGGTCTTAGACTTTTCTTTGCAGAACATTTTTATTGCTTATTCAGTATCTCTCCTGGCTGTGTCTTTATTAATTCCAATCTCTAATTTTTCCATTTCTGATTAGTCTAATTTCATAGTGTCTCTTTCTAGGACTTTGTCCATTTTGTCTCTGTCACTTGTAGTTTTGTTTTTTGTTCTTTTGGTTTTTCAAGACAGGTGTCTCTTTGTAACTCTAGCTGTACTGGAACTTGATCTGTAGAGCAGGCTGGCCTCATAGATATGCTGATTCTGCTCCCCCAGGTGCTGGGAATAAAGGCATGCGCCACCACTGCGTGGCTAGCGTTTTAAACAACAGTGCTTTAGTTGGGTTAACTGTTCCATGTTATCTTTTCATTTCTTTATTTTACAGATTTCCGCTCTGACTTTCTTTTGGGTGGCTTTGGATTTGATCATCTCTTCCTACTTCCTAAGTTAAAAACACTTAGCTTACTGATTTGAAATTTTTTTTAGTAGAGGTATTTATAGTCCCAAGTTTTGATTTAAACATTGTTTTACATCTATCTTCGAAGTTTTTTCATGTTATATTTCCGTCTTTCAAGTGTTCTGTTTTGTTTTTGAGACAGGGTCTTATATCACCCAGGCTAGCCTCAAACCCCTGCGCCTCCTGCCTCCAATGCTCAAGTACTGGGATTCCAGGCATCTGCCGCAAAACTCAGAACTTTTGAATTTCAAAGAACTTTCTAGTTTTTCAGTTATTATTTTTTCAGCTGATTAGGGTCGTTTGATTTCCATAAACACGTGGCATTCCCTATGTTAGTGACTTCTTAATGAAGAATGTACTTTATATGACTTCAAGTCATCTTAAGCACATTGACCTGTGCCAGGGAACCAGCCACTATCAGTTTGTCCTGTTGCTGCTGGGGAGGCTCTGGGATGTGTAAATTTCTCCTATCTGGTGTGCTTGCCAGCCTTTCCTCTCTGTCCACTGGAGTGGGATGAAGCCGTCCCTCTGTGGTATCTGTCATTCCGTTAGTTTTAGTTTCATGTTTCTGGGGCCCATGTTAAGCTCTTTTCTTGCATATCTGCCATTTCTTCCTACAGGATGGCCCCTTGTCTTTGGTCCTAAGTCTCCCTTCTCTGGCCACAGTGGAGCCACTGAGGTCTCCCTGGATGACTTCTTACATGGTCCTTTTTCACCTTTCCCCACCTTTTCCCAAGAAACTTCATTGTGTCTGCGTAACTGTGTTTCCTGTCTGCAGTGTAGACTTTGACAGTGTTTTAATCTCTCCCCTCATTTTTGCAGCCCAAGTGGAGTTTCTAATCTGTTTACATTCATTGGTGTTGCTGATAAGTGTGGGTTTTACCTACTGTTTTCTGCATTTCTGTTTTTGTTAAGTATTTAATTCCTTACAACCTCTCTTTTGGCTGTAAACAAAATAGCTTCTGCCTCCACAGGATCCTGGAGTTCAGAACCCCAGCCAAGCGTTTCTAGAGTCACAACTTAGCATGGAGGCTTCCCCTGATGTTGGCGTGTAACACTTAATTTCTAGTGTTTCTCACTTAGAACAGCACTGTGATTGACAACTAGCTCCTCGGAAAGTGTGTTTTGTTTAGGCAGCTGTGTGCTGAGTAACACTGGAGATTTTCAGCTACTAAACAGAAGTGGGACTACCTTTCCCACCACTCTGCTTAAGTTTAGGGACATAATCAAGAAGGCGGTAGGCGCATCAAAGCCAAAGAGGACCAAGCATTCACGGAAGTCAGGCAGAATTGGGCTGGAAGCTTATCTTTTGTTTTCTGGGTTTTGTTTTTTGAGACAGGGTCTTGGTACACCTACCCCAGGCTGACCTGGAGCTCTAGGGCATCCTGTCTCAGCCTCTTGAATTCTAGGATCACA